GGGAAAGAGCATGAGAACTATGAAGGAATGGTTCACAACTTCAAAGGCTGTGTTGAGCATGCTGCTGGTGCAGGTTATTGGAACCGGGATGCAGCTCTTATCAAGGGTTATACTGGTTGAAGGCTCTTCCATTTGTGCACTTATTGCATATCGTCATGTTGTTGCTGCTATTTGTGTTGCCCCTTTTGCACTCTACTTCGAAAGGTAAAGCTTTTAAATGCTACTGATGAATTGCTTTGCTCTTACTTCCAACTAAATTTAATCTTGCTTTCCCAATTGTTAATCTTTGTTTTTGTTCTTTTAAGATTTTGATTTGAATTATATTATATGTAAAGGTTTTAAATTGAGATTGTATTTGATTCGTTGTGTTGTTTGATATTGTGAGAAATTATTTACAATTGTGATAATCCAAAAATTAATTTTGATGTTGCGGCTTAAATCATGATGACAAACTTATTTTTAAAACCTTGATTATATTTTCTTACAATGTTCTTTTATTGATTTTCCTAATATTTTGTAAAAAATAAAAATGTATTACAAGAATAAATATATTTTACATTTGAAAATATAAAAATTCGACAGTTTCCTCAATTAGTTGATTACTTCGGATGCTGCAGAATGATTTTTTTTAGATAGGAAACTATTAAATTTAATAATAACAAACTAACCCTTTAATTGGTCTGTAAGTTTTTGATAAATTTAATACACATTTCATGTTGGTGTGTTAAGAATTTTTTTTTTTTTTTTTTTGAGATTTTTGGTATCCTATCCTAATGCAACTTTCAATACATACAATTATTTCCCACAAAGTAATAAATTCAAACATACACTTAATTTAGTTATGCACTCTACCCTGAACTTTGCTTCACCAATTGTTGTATGTTAGATTTTTGTTCATGTTTTTAATTTTAATTTTCCCCTCACATACACTTTTGCTTCTTGATGTTTTCTTGAATGATATTGTGGTTGCAGAGACCGCACGAAGAAGTTCAGTTGCAGGGTTTTGTTTTGGCTCTTCATTAACGCGTTAATGGGGTATGTGCAGTCTTTAATTGCCCTAGAAAGAGGAATAGTGTCTCTGTATAAAATTATTGATGTTTTAGTTTTTTTCTTCTTCAAAACTTAATGTTTTATAAATTCAAGTTTATTAACTTTTTTCTTTATATATAGAATTAATTATCCATATACTGTGAGTATAAAGTTTTTTACACTGGCAACCAATTATATCTTTTAAATTATTTTATTTTATTTTTATTTCATTAAATGAGCAACTGACATGACACTATTAAAAAATATGATTGGTTGTCAGTATAAAAAAAATTTACACTAGCAGTATATAGGTGATTAACTCAC